GAAACATTCGGATGTTTATATCAAGGTGTACATGAAGTTCAATTAAAACTTCATCGTTATCATTAAATATGAATCGCAAACAAGCCATTCGGATGGCCATTAGTTCGTCATCAACAGATTCGAAAATAATTATTCAATTGAGAGACCTTTTAGTTCGAAATTGGTATCGATTTTATTACAAATTAAATATAGATAGATAGTGAATTACCATTTCAATTTTTTATCAAGATACAAAGTGTTACATGAACGTAAAGGTCCCACGGTGAAACAAATTTACTATCTGGTTATTTCCTTCTAAAAATGGTCTTTTTCCTGTAGGAAACAAAGCTAATCAGTTGAGAACAAATAAGAGGTAATCAAGAGTATTTTTCTTTAGATTCCTCCCTAATTAGTTTTAGATACGTCCGGAGAGCGAGTGATGAAAATAACCCTTTTTTGATATTTGAAAATACACGGTTGCATGCGTGCATTCTATCGCTACAAATCTCTCAAGAGCGAGCGCCAGACTTTTAATTAATTTCTAATTAAAGTCGGTGCGCCGTTTTCGAACGAAAACGGAAAACCGTGATGCAAACACGGATTTTTAATGGCCTAATGACGGTTCTAATTGAATGGAACGTCGGGGAAGTACACGCGAATATCGCCCCGGCGTTGAAGATTGAATTGAATTAAACGGCGAAAAAGTTTTGATAGTAAATCCGCCGGCGGCTCTAATGATTAATTTCGCATCCGCAGTCGTTCATCGCCCAATTACCAATTATTTCCCCGTCCGAATCGTTCGTTTAATTGAAATCATAATCCCTTCATTATACACAATTGCGGCGGATCTCACTTAAACAATTAAAATGAGTTACTTCTGCGAGATTTTTGGCTCCGGCTATAATTTACCCGGGTTTTAATGCCCCTAATAAAATTTTATAAGTGCTCGAATTACAGTTAGATCGTCTTAATTATGCGCCTTGTTGCCGGCGGATAACACGGAACGGTTCCCTTTTATCGTCTTCGGAAAATAGAAGGAAGGAACAAAAAAAATACGAACGGTTGAATAAAGATTTTCCTCTTCTATTAATTAATGTCCGCGAATTCCTTATTACTCGGGAGAAGTAATCCGGATGTAAACGCGAACGTATGGGCGCATAACAAACAACTTTAATTATTTAATGTGCAGTTGATTCTAGTAATAGAATTTTCTATTAGGCTCTACTATATCGCCCGAAGAAAGAAAGGCTCCGGCATTCTAAATTATACGCTAAATTAATGCCCTCGTATATATTTATTAGGCGACTACCGTTGAAATATTTTTCGTAAAAACTTCATTTGAGTTGATTTTCTCTATTGCGATGCGTTTCGAAAGACCTGTTTTGAGATCAACATTGCAAATTTGCGATCGAAAAAAAAAAGAATTAATCTTCTCACAATCAATCTAAAAATATCCCGGAGCTGTCCCAATCGTATAATTATCTTGATGCTGACGCCAAATCTATCAATTCCTTCAAAAGTTGATACTAATTCTAATTAAACTAGCACCTCGGTGTTCCGAGACGCCTTGATGGAGCACTCTAATTAATTATAATTATTTGACATATGTTCACGTTTCCTCGTAATTGGTTCGGATCGATAGTGTCGGTGGTATCGAGTAATTTAAGAAGCATTCGAATTGAGCAATTTTCTCGAAAATACTGGCCAGGAATTCTTCTTCCCACTGATACTCGCTACCAAGGCGCTCGTATATTACTGGTTTAATAACCGAGAAAAAATGTTTTAACGGAATTGTTTTGATGTCTAAATGCATTTGAAATTAATACCAGTTCGTACAAAGAATCTCCCGGGAAAGGCCATAATTTTTCTCACCGACGCGCCGCTCTTGGGTAAGGAACATTTTTTTTTAGTTGTAGCCTACTGCGAGGACAAGAAAGAAATCGTTTTCTAACGCCCACAATTAAACAACCGCCTGCGTTATTAGAGGAATATAGTACAGTTGGGATTATCCCCATTTTTACAGCCGTAAATGCCGCACGACAGCGAGACCCTAGAAATTTTATCTATAATTTATTTGTATATCTCAAGCATAATACACAGCGATTTTTATAGTGTAGTGATGCGCAATGATTACTACATTCAGTTACAAGTCGCGCAGGTTATGTCTCTAGTTATTCCTCTCTTACTGTACACATTAAAAAAGTGTGTATGTGGACTGTACTATAATATGACCATCTATATTATCATTGTATTAGTATAACAATGCGTATTTTCTATCGAAACGGATCGGCCTCAAACATTCGATTTAATGTATTCATTTATTCAAATCGACCTCACATGTTTACGAAACATTAGGATTTGTTGATAATTTGTAACAGATGATTAAAGCGAAGTATTTTTAATAAGATTAGAGGAAAAATGCGGTAGACTCGTCTATTTTGATTTATACGTTTGTTTCGATTTTCGAACTTTGTTAATAACCAACGCTCCTTACCGTTACAGAATAACATCCGAATATGTTAATTTTTTTATGTAAAATTATTTCTGAATTCATAGATCATATTAGAGACTTGTTGAATAATGAAAAATGGTAGATCATTTCTCTTGCATACAGCAGCTCGGTTCATTTGTATTGTACTCTTTTTCCTAGATTATATAGAGCGACGCACAGAAAAATATAAATAGGCGACGTATGAAAAAGTAGTTGAAGTATTGCCAAATGTGAAAGCTTGATAACGTAGTACTGCAGAAAAATGCGGATCGAGCAATCGCCCAAAACTCCACTACAAGAAATATATGGGGTGCTTTTATAAAAGAGATTATTTACAAGATAAATGCGAATAATTTCGACGCGAGATGATGCACCATTATTTCATTATTTTCGCGATTTTTTGAGATTCTCCTGTGAGTGCTCGGTGAAAATTCCTGCAGTGTATTTCCAGCATGACGTTGCATGTTGAAAGGTTACCTTTGCATTACATAAAAATCGTTATTTCAAGGTAAATCCTTTAAAAATGTGACATTTCGTGCACTTCCATCGACGAAATTAAATTACACCATTACTTTAAATCTACAATATAAAAAAACGAATTAACTCGACGGAAACAAAACCCATTTAATTTTAAAGTTAATTATCATGTACCTACTATATTCTTGTTTGCTATGAGTTTTCATTCGGTTCGCTGTTGACAAACGGTTGAGTATTTCGTGATTATTAATTAGTTGGATATAGTAGTGTATAAAAAAAGTGACTGAAAGATTGATGTTACACTCGATGTGGACGCCATTTAAAATAATGTGCAAAGCGATGAATATTAAAAATAATGCGACCGCGTGTTCGTATCTGTCACATCTCGTATATCAGCGCGGAATATTAATCGAGAGAATTTTCGAAACGCCGATAATACCTGAATTTCCGCTATGAAAAGCATCAATAGTCCAATTAATTTCGACTGAAAACCCTATCTGTTCGTTTTTCCGGTCGATTTTTTGCCATCGAATTTATTCTGCATTGTGCAACACGGCCACTTAATTTGAAAATATTCAATACATTATATATTTTGTGCAGTTTATTAGTTCGTTGTGAAAGGTATTTTATAAAGCGGATATATAAAAATTTAACGATCGAATTTGTACCTAATTAAATTTCAAATTCCCATTAGAATTCCAGCAAAAATCGATTGGGATACCGGCATCAGGTTTTCATAAAATATTTTCTTATATTATAATTTCCTCTCGACGAAGTGCCTATGAAAATAAATTAATAATCAATTCAATCTATCCGCTTATAGGAGTTTTTGTTAAATTTTTCGAGAGGAATATAAATCCACTATTTTAAATTTCATATAAGACTAAAATTAGAGCTTACCAATAATTTCTAAATAAATTTTCTTACCATCATTAATAGAATTACTTCCACTCGAATTTTAATTAACGACTGCAACTTTTTAATACCTACTTACTTTTCTTCTAATAATTTTTAATGGTGTAATTACTCACTAATAAAAGTCCGCGCGAACGTACAACAGGAAATCTCGTTTGAAATCTCCTCGATGAAGAAAAAAAAACTCCCCCTGTCAAAATCAGTTGAAATTTCGGCATTGAAATTAGCCTACTCGTGTCAGGGGTAGATTAAAATTTTCTTCATCCGAAACTTCCGACGTGAAAGATGTAAATCAACTCCAGAAATGCGAAATGCTTTTGACAATGAAGCGGATTGCATTACGGCAAACGCGGAAAATAAAAACTCCACCGAAACTTACAGGGTGAATCGCGTTAAAAATAAATATTCCCCTTAATGTGTACCTACTATTCGATTGTATTTTAAAATTCGATTAAACTTTATTTAGGAGTGTAGGTTGTAAATATAGTACCCTGTTTCATGACTTAATCTTCGCCGGTTTTCTCGAGCGTGTTCATTTCGAGACCGTGAAAGGAAGTTCGCATTGAAAAACAAAAATGAAAAACGCGAGATAAATTGAAAAATAGCTGGAGCCGCACAAACAAGTCGACTCCGATTCCAACGATACAAAAGCCGGATGATTTTAACAATCAAGTTTTTCTTATACCCCGAATGTAAATAATGACTAAACTCGCAGGAAACAGGAAAACGGTGCTTGGTTTTAGATTTTTCATTTCCCATCTGTAAGTATACAGCGTGTTATAATTCGGATCTTGTATAGAGTCGCTTAAAAGTGCATATTTATGCAGATTATCCGGTGCTTTATAAAAAAATATTTACCCACAAATATTGCAAAGAACCTGGGTGTCTTATTATCTGTCTGAAGGAGCGGAACAATCTCATCTTTCCGCTGATATCGCGTCCGGTTCGCTTCTAATTCGAGGTGTGTGGGTAGCGATAAATTTCCTTGTTTGTTCCGGATGGCGTGCTTTCCGTGATGGAATTCCGCGATGCTGTGGAATATTTCTATATTTTACGTGTATTGCAGGTTTCCTGGATGGCATCCACGTGGGGAATTAGTGGAAATTGCGCGACAATCGAGGACAACTGAGGCGACACCATGAAGATTCGGCTCGTCTTCCTAGCTTTGGTAAGTCGTGAATTTTTTTGTTGCCAGAAATACGCTCGGATTTTTTTATGTTTAATTGAACGATTCGCAATCGATACCGCGCAAATTGATGGACAAAATGGAAGGGATAAACCGCCGAGGGCGGAAAAAATAAATCGGGTTCGATTATGTGTCACTGACGGATGAATTTAATTAAACTTTGTAAGATTAATGAACGCCAACAAAAAACGTGTAGTTGGCCGTTGACAATGTCGTCAAAAATGAATTTGCTCGAGAAAGGGACTCCCCGTCGATTTTTCAAAACCCCATATATGACAAATTGTACAATTTAATTATTTTTTTTATTTCACTATATAGGTACTTACATTTTTAGGTTACATTTGCAAGTACTTTTATTAATATCTAATGCATGCATGGTAGTTCTAATATCCCAGTGTACTGCATATAGGAGTGTTGAATAGTTTTTGTAATTAATTACTGCCTTAATAGAAAATTTAGTGCCCAACATCTCCGCACTTAAGTTTAATCCATCTAACTCACGGAGTTACATAATGAATTATTGAGGGAATTTTAGATTGAATCGCTGGCGTAATCGGCCCGTATTAATTTTGGATTCCAATTTGTAAGCATGTACCATAATTTACCTAAATTCATTTCCTGGACGAAAGCTGGTTTTTTGTTAATTTGCGAATTTTCCCTGTTTTCACATAATGCATCTATTTCGGTGAATATTTTATTCAAAAGTTTAGCTGAGGTGGAATAATGCTCTAGCACAGTCATCGCCTGTTTATGCTCGATAAGCTGAGCAAGTATTGTATTAAAAGCTTTCATCAAGACGATATTTCGATATCGGTTAAGCGGGAATAATCTAATGTTTTCGGTATAATCTACTGGTTCTATTTAGATAATTTGGAAAACAATTATCTATTATTCCAAAACCGTGTCGCTCAAATTTTGTAAATAATAGACGTGAAATTCCATTAAATTGCATATTGATATAATTACAAAAAATAATAGGGACGTAAAATATAGTAAAACCTGGATGAAGAATTTCACCTGCGTAGGTACTTTTATTATCCAATATCGTTTTTACATATTTATGACGGTAAAGGATTCGAAAGTTTTCGAAAGTCGAAAGCCTCCAGGATCAAACTTGAAGCATAAACTTTTATATAGCCACAGCACATGGAAAATATTAAGGAGCAACTAACCCCATAGTCGACGGACGGGCGCCGACTTAGCGGGCCTTGGAAGTTTCGGGGAGAGATTCGACGCCGAAATTTAAATAAAATTCATCATGTTCCCGATTTTTTTGCAAATTTTTGCTAGATTAACGGACCAGAACTTAAATGTAGACTGGCCCAATTTCGAAAGCGACATCTCCCTTCCTTTACTTAAGCACGCCACTGATTAATTACGACGATCTTTACTAAGGGAACGGTAAAATTTTATAGCCCCTTTGTCGAACGTCTCGGCTTGAATTATTTAATAAAAACTCTGCTAGAATGGAAATTGATCGTTGGCAAAAACGAATTTTCATTGCTGCAACAATCGTACAACTTTTTAATTATGCAGCACTCCTCATAAAGCTTCTTGGAGTTGATGGCTCCTAAGTCTCAAACAGAGACCCTAGGACTCATATTTAGCACACATCCTATAAATATATAATACATTGTTTATAGAATAACTAGGTAAGAAGATTTTACAAAGACATTATTGTTATATGGATGTACCTGTATGTATGTATTTAATTCTGATTACAATATTATACAAATTCGTAGGTTGCATTATTATCGCAATATAGTAGCATAATCATGTTATTATTACATCATTCAATAGCAGATGTATATTCCTGAGGTAATCAAAGATTATAGGAATTCCAGGATAATGCGAACAGTTCCCTTCGGTCGGAGGGATCATAATTATATTCGAGTAACAAAACCTCTTAGCTCTTGGCTTCCAACTTTGGTAATTAATTCCTGGCTAGATAATATTATGAGCCGTGTTGTGCGGCCTATATATCGGATGAAATCAATCGTAAGTAATGACTCGAATTTATCGAGATAACGCCCGCGCTTTATCTTATTAATGAGCGTTTTTGTACCGAAAGATAATCGAAAAGCTCCGATATTAGTGCTTGATTATCATAGCAAGAAAATTCAGGAAATTCTCTAACGATAAATTATTCCGGCCGTATATAGTACGAAAAGAAACAAAACCAATAAAAATAAAACTCCTCCTCGAACTTAATCTCTTCATTGACTCCGATCGAAGACCGGCCTGTAGGATTCCGGGTAGCTTTCGCTTTCAATCTCGGTCCGTTTCTTCCGCCTATTTTTGCGAAACACACCCCGTGATTTATCCCGAACGGGCCTAATGAAATTGATTGCGAAACGCCACTCTCACGAATCAACCCTAAATCGTTGTAAATAGAAGGTGAGATAATAAAAACTTTGTGGCTCTAATGGTGCGTTTGAGCCAAGAAATATGAACGTTTTCGAAGCAGCACGTTTCTATATTTGTCAAGTTAATTGAAAACCGTCGCGATACGATGGTTTTTCCTGTTTGTTCGAAGAAACGGGCGTACCGTCATCGGGTCGAATCGACCCCTTTGTGTCCCTCACAGGCGAAATTGGTTGGTTTTGACGCCCGACCGCTGTTCCTATCAGTCCGTGTAGCCCCGACGAGTTGTCACATCCAGACGGCCGGCACCAAGTGACAAGGGGTGTTCTCGCAAGGGTCGCGCGCCGGCCGATCGTCATACGCCAGATTGACTTGTCACGCCGTAAATAAATGCCCTTAGATTCGTATCTACTTCGATTTAACTCGGCCTGCATTCACTCTGGAAGAGGGTCCGATAGGTGTAGAGCTTATATTACATAGCTAACGTATCTTAAAATTAGGGGTAGCTCACGTTGATTTGAGTGGAGAAAATGTCGTGAAGAACGACAATGTTGTATTTAATCGATTCGTTTTGCGAGGTTTGATTTATGATTGCGACGAAAAAATCGTAAATTTCATAAACTTTGGTATTTTCCGCGAAAACTTCTATATTTTATGGTACATATCAATTTCTAGACGTACAGTCACGACGTGTCTGGTGTCATATTTGAGCAAACTTCATTGATATCGAACGAGCAGCGCTCGTGTGTGTGTGTGTGACACAAAGATGTTCGATTTTTTAAATAAATAAGCTTAAAGCACGATCTGGATGAAAAAAAGATGTTTATTAACATTATAAATTGTCCAAATATGGAGTTATAGGCTTCTAAAGAGTGTATTAGACGCAGAAATGGATAAAAATGTAATCTAAAACCTAGAGCTATTCCCACAAAATTTACACATCTCTAAATAATTTAAAACTGAGCATTAACAGAGCTACTTTCGTTCAAAATTTTATTCTAACCAGAGCACCTTTTACAATTTCATACATTTTGCATAATTCACTGGGCAAAGACATGTTAACTGGGTTTCTGGGACGTCATAAGAATTCCAATAACGATTTTCATCACGCTATTCGAAACGTATTGCCGCGTGTATCGGGCCCGGAGTGGCTTTATCAAAGATTTCCGAATTTATGGGCGTTCGCACCCCTCCGGGGCGCACGGTCGACTAATTCGCTCGCTTTACATGTCCCATTGGGCGAGATACAAGGCCGTGAAATATTTTTAGTAGCCGTAAATTCACGGGCGAACCACCCGGTAATTTACACTTACATTTTCTTGCTCGTGCTAGCCGAATTTCGACGTAAGTTCGATATAATGTGGGCGGTTTTAATTATTAAAAAGAGGTACATTTTGGTGACATCGACGCGGCTTTTAATACGCAATAAATTTGGTGTTTGGCGGCAATACAATTTCCGTTTTCGGGGTGGAGTTCCCGCCCGAAATCGCCGAAAAACGAACATTAAGAGTTACGATGTCATAAAGATATCATCTAGGTATTTATTCGCGACGCGATCCTCCGGAGTTTATATTTTATTTATATACATAAATCTGCATCAAGGCGCGCGCTAACTGCGAGGAGTTTACAGTCTAAAAAATGCCAGTCGCCAGTTACAAAGGCATTTAACGCACGTTGAATCGAGATTTATAATGTATTTACGGCGATAGTTAAAAGTTCATTAAAATGGCACTTTATAAAGGGAGGAGAGATTTATCGGCCGGTGGAGTTTTGAAATAGAAAACTTGTTGTAAAAGTTAGATTTCCGGCATGTGGAAACTATGTTAATTCGTTTTGATATATTCTTTCAATATGATTTTATAATATTTTTGTGGCTTGTTTTCTTGTATGTTTACACTATTATACGAAAATAGCACTTTTGGTCTCTAAACATCACTCAACAAGATACTATACACGTTTTTAAATCGCTCTCAAAAAAACACATTTGAGATACAGAAGGTTCTTCTACCTAAAGAAAATACATGCTTTTCGCTTGTCATTTTTCTCATTTTTTTTAATAATGCCAAAAAAGCAATTCGCAGAATGTTCACATGGCGTAGGAATGCTCGTTCGTCGCGGAAAATCCCGGACAAAAGAAAAGCCATTGTTTGAAGTCGATGATTTTTTAAGGAGACGCAGCCGAACGAAGGGATTTCCGGCCGGCCCTTTATCTCCCTGCGCCGCTAATCCACTTTGAATTTTATCTTCACGGCGAAACGCCCGCCGCCTGATCTATTCCGGGCTTTCAATAGAAATAAATTAAATTCCGAAGAAGTTGTAGATTGGACGGTCGATTCCCAGATAACGGGCAAACGAAGAAAAACTACCAGATAAATTTTTGACATCGCCGAAAGGGAAACTTTCCTCGGTGAAAAGACAGCGCTCTAACCACCAAAAATTACTTACCATTCGTAGAAATAAATACAGATAAAAAAATTAATCGCCAAGAAAATTTCGCCTGTCCAATTCTGGACGTACGACCGGAGTGGACAGTACAGCGAAAGATAGATAACTTCCTGGAAAAGTTCGACTAAATCGTATATCACTAAAATGGATGCAACGCAAATGTAAATGGGCGA